AGTCTTTTCCCATGCCTATGTCCTGAATGGTATTAGCTAGGTTTTCTTCTAGTTTTTTTATAGTTTAGGTTTTATGTTTAAGTCTTTAATCCATCTTGAGTTAATTTTTGTATAAGATGTAAGAAAGGGTCTGGTTTCAGTTTTCTGCATATGGCCAGCCAGTTTTCCCAGCACCATTTATTAAATAGGGAATCCTTTCCCAACTGCTGGTTTTTGTCAGGTTTTTCAAAGATCAGATGGTTGTAGACGTGTGGTGTTATTTCTGAGGCCTCTGGAAACCATCATTCTCAGCAAACTAACACAGGAACAGAAAACCAAACACCGCATGTTCTCACCCATAAGTGGGAGTTGAACAATGAGATCACATGGACACAGGGAGGGGAACATCACACTCCGGAGCCTGTCAGGGGGTCGTCGGGGGGCGGGCAAGGGGAGCGAGCAGCAAATCACCATGAAACATGTATACCTATGTAACAAACCTGCACATTCTGCACATGTATCCCAGAACTTAAAGTATAATCATAATAATAATAAAGATTATCCTTCGACCCTTGATCTCCCACACTCCCTCATCCCCAACCGAAATGGAAAGTATTGAGCAATTACATGTTAATGGGGAAGAAACCAAGAAAATTTCAAGATACACGAGATAAACAACTCTTAGAATGAGTTTGCCAAGTACCCTGAAGGTATGAAATTCTAAGTACAACTGAAATGATTAGACTTTGACTTTAGAAGAGATATTTAAGTTCTTTAAAAGAGTAAAAGATTTCTGTAGAGACATGCAAATTTGTATATTTCATCACAGGAAGTAGGAGGTCCTTAGCTCCTATTTCTCCATGAAAGAAGTTGAAAGATTATTTGTTGAAAGTTATGGGAGAAATGCTAGATTTGCTGTTTAGGGGATATTGAATAATTCTACATGGTTAATAATATTGATTTAAATATTTGGTGAATGATTTCCAAAGAGCAGAACTTTGGAGTCTGCATTAACTACTTAATCCTTTTAGATCATTTTGAAGGTTAAAATGTGAAGCAAAATGACAATAGGGTATGTTACTTTTTTTGCCTTTTTGTAATTATTTTTCTTTTTCTACTATATATGAATAAGAAAATACTTTATGTTACACAATACTTTTGTTTCTTGGAGATCGTCTTCAGTTTTTTTCCATTCCATGCTTATCTGAATATAGAATACACATTTATATGTGGTACTGATAATTTTCCAGAAGTGAATTATAGCAGATATTTCTGAGATCAAGTATATGGCAAATTGCCTGGTTTAAATTTTCATAAACACTGCAATAAAAACAGAGGATTTTTAAACAGTGATTTTGGAGTTATATTATGGTACAAACACAGAAAAAAGAGAAGGTTTACCAGAGTAAACTAAATAAATATTAAACAAAAGGACAGGAATTTGGAGAATGCTTTCTAATGCTGAGTAATTCACCTCATAGAGTACTTTCTATTTCTGTCACTGTCAACTTAACGAATGCGATATATCAGTTGTGGATGACATTCATAATTCCACTAAATTAATCATTGTTAGCATCTATATGTCCACTGCTTTAAACTTCTCAGCTGCTAAATAGATTTTCATTACAAATCCATTAATCTAAACCTAAATTTGAAGAGGCAAGTAACAAAATTAAGGTTATTTTGTGTCCAAAGCATAATTTTAAAATGTTCAAAGTAATTGTTTTTTAAGGAGAAAGTATAGTTGTTTAATCAATCTGTTCATCAATTTTCCCTGCTATATTGTTTTAGTGGCTTTAGTTGTATAATATTTTATTACTTATTATTTTTATTTATTTTTTTACTCCTCCATGCCTAGAATATACAAATAACAGTGAGGAAGATAGAAGGTCTGGAGTAGAATGAGGACCAGGAGTAGGAGATGAGGGCTGAGGAGTTATCAGATCATGTGGATAATGACTTTGATTTATATAGTAAGTTGATTGAAAAGCTATTGAAGAAAATTGAGCAGGGGAGTTTCATGATCTGAATTGCTTTATAAAAAGCTTTATTTGGTGGCTATCTTGAGAAAGGAAGTATGAGGCTACATGCAGAAGCAGAAAGAATGGAGGCTATTAAAATAGCTGAAGTAAGAGATCATGGTGGTTTTTGATCAGAATAATGGTGGAAATGGAGAGAAGTAACTGGATTTATTATGCTTTGTGAAGGGCAAACTGATTTAGTTAGCTTTAGTTTGGATGTGGCATAGAGAAATAAAGAACTTAACATATTCAATAATTTTGGGAAGGATGGTATCGATATTTACTGAGGTGACAAAGATTGACAGAGAAACAGTTTTGAGGGAGAAGTTCTGAATTCGGCTTTCCAGTGTGTTAAGTGTGGGATGCCCTTTAGAGGTGTTGAGTAGGAAGCTGGACATGTGCATTCAAAGTTCAATGGAAAACTATAGGCTGGAGACAGACACTTAAAATTTGCCAGCATTGCAATTAGTACAAATGAAGTAGGTACATGGGAACCATCCAATGGAGTAGATCAGAAACACAGCAGGCAGCAGGACCAAATTTCAGTGCACTCCAGCATTGAACTTTACTTCCCAAATAAATTTTTTTTCTTGACCTATTTAATAAATTTCCTAGAGGACTATATTTTATTATTTAAATTTTTGAATTTGCTGTATCCTTAATTTATGAGTGTAATATATTCTTATTTTTTTCTTGAAGATAGTGATGACAGTAGTTTTTTAAAACTAGTATCCTCTTCTATATCTTACATTGGTTCCAGTTACTTCTCTCCATTTCCACCATTATTCTGATCAAAAACCACCATGATCTCTCCCTTCAGTTATTTTAAGAGCCTCCGTCCTTTCGCCTTCTCCATGTGGCCTCCCTTTTCTTCCATTTTTTTCTTTCCTCTATAGACATTCTGTTTCTTAATCGTAATCTTGACTATTCCTGTTTTTCTTGTTTTGTTTTGTTTTGTTTTATGCCACTCTTATGTTCTTCACATGCCCAGAGATCTTTGATTTTTCCACTCACAATGATGAATGATGTAGATTTATTTGAGGTATTTGATGTGGGTTTCCTTTGCTGTTGTTTATAAAAATTTGCTTTCCTGCCTCCTCTCTCTTTTGAGTGGTACAGTTCATTGAGAGTTCTGTTGGCAATTGAAAGGTTTATTGATGGATTTAATTCCCTGTGGTTTAATGACGAGATTTCAGAAGTTAAACGGGGAGCATTCAATTACCCAAATGAATTCGATATTCTTTTGGTAAACCTAAACCAAAACTGGTTGCTTTTATTTTACTTCTACTATCCTCTGTTTTATTTAGCAAAGTAATTTATATTCTTCTGGCTAGGGATTAATGCCACATTGTCTATTTAACTACCATGATAGTGAGCTGGACTTGCCTACTCAGACTTTCAAAGAACTCTGTGGTATTTTCTCTTGTCCTCTTCCTTGCCTTCTGTGTGCTCTCTTTATGTTACCAGCTCTGAACATGGAGTCTCTCTGTAGTGTGTTGGGAAATCAGCTTCTACCATTATTGTAGTTGATTTCTAGTATACTTAGACTATGACATTTTCTGCTGTTTCCTTTACTATCTCTTCCTATCAGTTTATTGCCTTTGAGACAATTATTTCAGTGGCCTTTAGGTCTATAATTATAGATGCAATAATGGTTTAAAACTCAGGTAATGCATTTGGCAAGTACTTTCTTAAAATTTGCTTCCTCCAGTTATTATCTTTGTGAATTTAGGAAAGTTACTTAAGTCTCTTAAAAATATGGTTCACCTCGAGGCGGAAAGATCACGAGGTCAGGAGATTGAGACCATACTGGCTAACACGGTGAAACCCCATTTCTACTAAAAATACAAAAAATTAGCCGAGCGTGGTGGCGGGTGCCTGTAGTCCCAGCTACTCGGGAGGCTGAAGCAGGAGAATGGCATGAACCCAGGAGGTGGAGCTTGCAGTGAGCTGAGTTCACGTCACTGTTCTCCAGCCTGGGCAACAGAGCGAGACTCTGTCTCAGAAAAAAAAAAAAAACCATTATATATATATATATGTATGTATGTATATATAGGGTTCACTTTTCTCTAGTGGAGGGATAATGATAACAATGCCTAACATATAGGATTACTGTTAGCATTAACTAAGGCAATATATATCAAGTTCAGTTCTTGGGGACTAGCACATGCTTAATATTACTATTATTAATAACAACATTATGAGTACTACTTTTTATTTTTAAACAGATAGTGTAACATTGGCTTTTGTATTTTAATTTGTTATAAAATTACACACATATTATGTAATATGGATGATGGAAACATTTACCTATATAGGTTAAAATATATGTCAATATAATGAAAACAGCATATATGTGTGCAACTACATATTTTATATATTTATCAAATTTCACGGTTCTGCTGAAAATTTTTAATTTGAAGAACGATTGTGGGAAAATAATCATTGTTTGCATTTGTAGGACTTTTCTCACCTTTTTATTTTTTTCTGCAGTCATTTTCTATGGAAATTTATTGACAGCGTTTATAGATTTTTTCACATATTTTATCAGCCCAAGCAGTATGTATATACTTTTTTTTCCATTGCCCAAGTTTGTCTCCGTTACAATTAATATGCTATTAAATAGACATAAAAAAGATTACAAAGAATACTGAGGTACTAATATTCAGGATGAAAAGATAAGGGTTAATTGGTAAGCTTAGAAACCAGCTGGTCAATTGTTTCAAAGTTTGTGGAGGTAACTGAGTTCTGCCTAGTTTTCAACTGATGAATTGGAATTTACAGAGATTTGCTTATTTTTTTTTAGAGGTTAGCATTTTTGAACTACAAGTATAACAATAAATGGTTCAACCACAATCATTACATCAACAGCAACAAGCCTGCCAGAATCCACATAGGAAAAAAGCAAAACAACTAAAGCTAAATGAAAGACTAATGTGGATTATCCTGTAACCATCCTTTATAGCATCCTGTGATTATAGTTTCAACTTTCTTTTTCAGTTTGACATTCGTCTTGGTCAACATAATGATGAAATGGAAGAACTGTCAGGCAATGTAAAGGAAGAATCCAAATCTCAAAAGAGCAAAGACAGAGTGATTTGTGAGTTAAGAGCAGAGGTAAGACATTGGGTAAAGAGTGCCATATATATTAAAACATAACTGACTGTTGTTAAATGCCATACTACGTTAAGTAGGGTAATAGATGTGCCTTTGGTTACTTTATGAAAGTGAATGCTGCTGCTAATATAATTAGCTTATATATGATTTAAAAGGCTGTGGAATGACATTGGCCCATAACTAGATCTGAGTTATTTGAATATTACTTAAAGATGAAATATTTAACTATAAAACTATCTTGTAGCCAATACAAGTCTTACTGTGCATAAATATTTTTTAAAAGTTCAACCAGCTGCTGGATCATGTATGTTCATTTACTTTCAGAACCAATGACATACAAGATATGTGTCATGCAATTTCTGGTGGAATTAACATTGCTGTTGGCAGCTAACAACAGTGAGAGATAAAATAAATTCACTTTTGTTGTAGTTAATTCATTTCTTAGATACACCACCTAAGAAACATTTATTTTTCCACTCCTGCCACCACCAACAATAAATGAATTTTCACAAATGTGTAAACTCTGAGTGTTTTTTACTGTTCTGTAGGTAAAAACAGAATTATTGCGTTTATAGAAAGGAGAAGGGAGTGAGTTATTTGTACTTCATAGAAAATAGCATGATGGCATTAAAAATGGAAAATCACAAATTATTTGTCTTGGAACAGATAATTCTGGGAAAATAGCTTGGAAACAAATGCGTAAGAGCAATTTACAGACTGAAATGAATTTAATGCAACTGTAGGCTGGTAGAAAACTGATTTGTATTAGGTTTTCTTCCTTATATAACTCTTCAAATTCTGAACCAACACCAGAGTATATTTACATCAGATGAATATAGTGCAATGGGAAATATACAGATTTTGGAGCTAGAAATGGGTCCATTACCTCCTGATTACTTTATTCTTGTCAATGCTGTAAGCATCTCTGTGTGTCAGTCTCCAGATTAAAATAATAGTAATAATAATATTAATAATAGTCATGAAACAGGATTTTGGAAAATGTATGTACTGCAAGAAAACAGTTTTCTGAGACAGAGTGCTCTAGTATTGAAACTTATAGCTAAGCTGCTTAGGAGAATTATATCCTCCCTGTGTTCCTCCTCATCACATCAATGCCATCCCATGACAGCTCTTCTATGAGTCCTAAAAGTGGTGTTGGGGTGAGATGGCATATATCAAGAGGTCCATTATGAGAAAGGCTGAACTGTTGAATACAAATCTTCGTAAGTCAAAGAGAAAAATTGGTGGCGTTCGTAACTTTTGTTTTCTAAGAGGAAACAAACGATCAGGATAGATACCTCTTTTTCTTGACCCTCAGCTCTGAGAATCATCTTTCATTAAACATTGTACAACATGTTGTATAAAAGCTTATTTAATAGTTAACGGCAAAAAAGGAGGAAGGCACATCTAGATATTTATTATAACTCTCCTCAAAAGCCAAGAACATTATGTATACACTTTTTTTAAAGACAAGTTTTAGGTTCACAGCAAAATTGAGCAGAAAGTAGACAGTTTGCACGTACTTCCCCTTTCCCCCAGAGACTCCTCCACAACTAACATCCTTCATCAGTGCTGCATGTTTGTTTGTTATAACTGAGAAACAAACTGAGACATTATCAACCACAGTCATAGTTTACATTAAGGTTCACTCTGTGTTGTACATTCTATGGCTTTTGACAAATGCATAATAACATATATCTACCATGTTAGTATCATGCAGATGCTAAACAAATATTGTATAGAAATATGTTTTTTTGCAACTTGTTTATATAAATGTGTCACAACTACTTATGTTTACATAAAAGTACAATAATTTAATTAAATTTAATAACTTATTTAAAAAATTAGTTTATTATTTTTAGATATATAATCAGCACTACAGTGAGTATGCATATGTATATAAATCACTGGATATTTAAAAATGGCTTATGATATATTCCTAGAAAATAGTGTGGCTTGGTCATTGGAATATTTATTTTTTAAATCTTTTTTACACATTTCCAAGTGTTCTATTAGAAAAATTGTATCAATTTACATTCTCACTAAGTAAGACTAAAATCTCTGAATATTATGTATAAAGCAAATATTGAAAAAGACTCAAAATTGGAGAGAAGAGGTATATCACCCAGGGGACCTGAGAATTGAGAAATGGCATGCTGTTGAATTTTCTGGGTTTTTGTCACATATATTCCAAAATTAGAACTGAAGAAGCCAGAAATCTGGAAACACCAATAGGTACAGATAAACACACAAAAATACCTAAAATGAAACACAACCTAAGTCTGCTTGCTCTAGCCAATGTACTAAGGAAGAGTCAATGTAGCAAGACGAAAACTTTTAGGACAATAATGCTTGAATCCAGCCCAAATCACAGAACACTGTGGCCCCACCCCATGCCTGTTAGCTAAGGCCAGCTGTAGAACCTGGACTTCTACATACATCTGGAAGTAACAAGACAATGCTATCCTTTCACTCTCAATTGTGGTTTCATAAGAACCCACCCAAAACACAATGTTAGATAAAATCCAAATCTCATGACATATTTCACAAAGTATCCAGGATACAATTGGATATTACTCATCATACCTAGAACCACAATAGTTTGAAGTGAATGAAAGAAAACAATTGATAGATGCCAACACTGCAATGATAAAGATGTGTTAATTATTTGGGAAGGATCTTAGAGAGGGCATCATTAAAATACTTTAGTGAGCAATTGTGCATATGCATGAAACAAATAAAAAATAGGAATTTTCATTAAAGAACTAGAAGGTCTCAGCAATTAAAAAAATGCAAAGAAGGAACAAATGGAAAAATTAGAACTGAAAAATGAACTGAATTTAAAAAAACAACTTCTGAATGCAGAAGACAGAGGAAAGAGTCAGTGAACTTGAAGATAAATGAATGGAAATTATCCTATCTGAATGAGATAAAGAAAATAGGCTGAATTTTAAAAGTAAAGTCTCAGAGACCTGTGGGGTGATTTAAAAAAAAAATTACATTCATGTAATTTGAGGCCAGTGTGAGAGGAAAAATAGTGTAGGACTGACAGTACTAAAAAATAGATGAAAACTTCCCAACTTTCAAATGAAAGGATCAAATCTAGAGTCAAGAATTTTAGTGAATCCCAGACAGCATAAACCCGAAAAGGCTGATATTAAGACATATCATAGTCAAACTTATGGAAAATAAGAAAAAATAATCTTAACAGCACCTAAAAGGTAAATTACAGTATATACACAGGGGAAAAAATCCAAATAACAGGGCTTATCACATCAGAAACTCTGGAAGTCAGAAAGAAGTGACATACAATTATTTAGGTTCTAAAAGAGCTGTCAACTCAAAATACTATATCCAGTGAAAATATCTTTCAGATCATTCTCTGATGAGGAAAACTAAGATAAATTGTCTTTGGTAAATAAGCATATGAAAAGGTGTTCAACATATTAGTCATCAGGAAAATGGAAATTAAAACCACGATGGGACAAAACTATACACCTGTCAGAATGACTAAAATCAAAATAGCGACAATACTAAATGGTGGTAATAGCACAGCTATTGAATTACTCACCTATTGCTAGAGGGAATGTAAAATGATACAATCACATTGGAAAATAGTTTGACAGTCTCCAAAATTGCAGCTACCATATGATCAAGCAATTGGACTCCTAGGTATTTACTTCATAAAAATAGAAGCTTATATTTACACAAAACTTATAGGTAAATCTTGAGTATTTTATATGTAAATGCCAAAACTTAGAAACAACACAGGTGGGCCGGGCGCGGTGGCTCAAGCCTGTAATCCCAGCACTTTGGGAGGCCGAGACGGGCGGATCACGAGGTCAGGAGATCGAGACCATCCTGGCTAATACGGTGAAACCCCGTCTCTACTAAAAAAATACAAGAAAATTAGCCGGGCGAGGTGGCGGGCGCCTGTAGTCCCAGCTACTCGGGAGGCTGAGGCAGGAGAATGGCGTGAACCTGGGGGGGCGGAGCTTGCAGTGAGCCGAGATCGCGCCACTGTACTCCAGCCTGGGGCACAGAGCGAGACTCCGTCTAAAAAAAAAAAAAAAAAAAAAAAAAAAACAACACAGGTGATCTTCATGGGGTGAATAATTAAACAAGCAATTATATCCATACTTTGAACTACTTCTCAGCAACAAAACAGAATGAACTCTTGATACATGCAACCATCTGGGTGAATCTCTTGAAGTATTGTGAGTGAAAAATATCCCTAAAGACTACATAGTCCATGATTATGTATATATATGATTTATGTATATATACATGATTTATTTGTATATATGATTACATATAATCATATATATATTCAGCATTTAGAAATGAAGAACCTATTAGTGGTTTTCAGGAATACAGGAGTGAAGGGAGTGGGTGCTGTGGCTAAAAAACAGCCACATGATGCATCCTTGTGGTGATGGAAGCGTACTGCATTTCACTGTGTCAAATTCTTTGCATAATTGTCAATGTCTGACTTCGGTATTGTACTAATGTACTGCTGTTTAACAGCCTATCTAAAGGATCCATTCATTCATAACTGTAAAGTACTAAAAATTGTACACAATAGTAGACACTCAATCAATACTAGGATAAGAACTTAGATCCAGGTCTCTTGGGTCCCAAAGATAAATTTCATATGGCTTTTACCATTGGAGGGCTCAGGGTAAAAGGCACATGGAATTTATCTTTTCTTTCAACTGCCTATGAATCGACAGCCAAAAATGAAAATTTAATTCAAACATCCTAATTTTTTTTGAAATTTAAGTAGTGATTATATAAGCAACCCTATTTATTTTGCTTATGCAAGATAAAACATAAGTATTTGTTACACAATTTTTTTCACACCCAGGAAGATTGTATTATCTATGGGGGCTTAGAAAGGTTCTTTCTCCATGTGAAAGTCAATTAGATTCTGTCTGAATAGGTAAAATGCAGTAATAGTGAAGTAAAAAATGAAACCAAATGACAACAAAAATAAGTTC